CCCACCACTTCGAACGCACCTATAGCCACCTCCATTCCACGCACACCCCTCCCCCACCACCCCTCCCCCTTCGCCCTTGCTTGGCGACTGTCTCCAAGACATTACCCTACATGAAAGACGTTTTATAAATGAAAGTTGTTGTTATTCGATTGTGATGGTCACCTGTTAACAAATTGTATAAGATGTGACTGAGGCTGCCAATGCAGATAAACTAAAACCATTGTCATGCATTATCAGTCACATCCGAAACCTTAACGAAGCATTATCTTTCATCTGCAATTATTGCACTGAACATATGTATAACACATATGTATGGCAACTGCAATAAACTTCAAATAAATATGTCATAACAAATACTGGAGTCTGTCATAGCCTTAAGAATTTCATTGCTCAGTTTAATAATAATTCGTCATCTTGTCTAATGTATTGTTTGTGGGTGTAGCTCACCGTTCGATGACTAATAAGGAATTTACAGTGACTCATACAATAAATACTACTTCCTGCTACCTGAAGCGAAATCCTGGCTGTGTTGTTAAGTGAACAGCTGATGAGGGACATGTATTTGAATCTAACCAATAAAGCTATTTTTGTTCATCTTCATGTTTTTTTTTACCAGTTAGGAGCTGAAATAGAAAGTTTTGCTCCTTCATAAAATATGGTTATGGCTCATTGTTCCCAGTGAAAAACTTTTGAAAATACAAATTCAGGAAGTACTAAAGGGTCAGTTATAGTCAATTAACTGAAGAGTCTTGTTATATTTTTCCAATAGGAAAACTCCTAGCACTTAAGGAAGCAAGCCTATAAATGTAGATTTGTAAAGCATATAACTCTTCTGGTTGCTGTGTTTAAGATGCAGGACTGCTGTTGTGGAAAATAATAATAATAAACTTTGCATTTCATAGCAGAACAATATTGTGGAAAGCAAAGTGTTGACAGAAAGCCACATAAGTTGTTGCATAACAAGAGGTGAAACTGGTACAAGACAGCAGACACCTCAGCACAGAGAATCACATGGGAGGAGCAATTGCCAGGTTGTAACCTAATACACAGGCTTGGTTAATAATTGAGCGATTGAAAAGGTTTTGGGAAATGTTTTGTTTCAAGCAAAAAGTCTGAAATTCCCCCCAGCATTGTTTCCGTCAAACAGTCTCACGTTCAAGTAAAACAGTCATGAGTTTCAGCCTGATTTACATAATTGGATCTGCTCTTGTTAAAAGAAATAATGATACAAATATCAGCTGAGTATTTTTCCCATGAGTACAGTGCTTCATTAAGTTCTGAAACTTGAGAAACTGGAAACCAAGAGTTGAATTTAAGCCAAATTCCATACGACGACCTGCCAAGTTTCTCTCGAGGCTGGCAATCATTTATTTTCATTTTAAATGCAACTCGCGGCGAGATTGCCACTCTCAAATAAAAATAAGTGGAGCTCCATGTGTTTAAGTAGATTTGCAATGTGTCTCACTCTTGCAGATGACAATTTTCACCGCTGATATTTCCCACAGTGTTGCCAACCTAGTGTCAGTCTTTCATGGCAGAGATTTGCACCTTGCCCTGAGATGCCAACTCCAGTTGGTAAAGACTGCCACTCTGCCTTAGTTTCCTCCTTCCTCTTTGACCGTGCCTATGGTCACCTCACCCCTTCCCCCAGCTCGGCATCGTGCTCTGCCACTGTCAAACACTCTGGGACTTTGTTGTTGGAATGTGCACAGAAGAGTGCCAATTTTGCTGAAACATATCAAAGGTCCACCTTTGAAGTAAGGTTGTTTGTATTTAATGGTGATGTATTATTGCAACAAAGAGAGGGGAAGTTCTCAAGGTGTCCTGATCAACACCTTGGCCTTTGACTTCATAGCCCTTTGCAGGACAAAATTGGCCACTGCATTTGTCAACAAATACAGTCACCGCACTTGACACAGAATATCTCTGAAACACTTTGATTATGTTTCCACATTTTGTAAGCGCTATGTCAGATGCAAGGATGATATAATTGTCCACCAAGTTTACCTAAAATAGTCATTATACTTGACAGCAATTACCTGTGAAGTTTTGCAAGAATGTCTTGACATTTATAGACCTGTAATAATAATAATCTTTACATTTGATATGCAGGGATAATTATTGTTATGCCATGTTTGCCTCAAAACACACAATCATTACAATGGACATCTATTGACTGTGAGCAGCTATGAGGACATTAATAGGCACTATAATAACAACCCTTGCATTTGATATGGTACCTTTCGGGAGAACATCTCAAAGCATTTTACAGGATTTATTGAAAGATACAATAACAACAGCTTGCACTTATATAGCGCTCTCCACGCAGGGTGACATCTTGGAGCGCTTAGCATTGCCGAAACCAGGGGGAGGTGGCTGTAAGCATGGTCAAAGAGGAAAATTTTCAGGCGGGACTTAAAAAAGAGGAGAGAGGGGGCAAGGCAGAGGGATTGAGGGAGAGTACTGACAGTGTAGTTTGCAGGTGAACATGGCAGCAATTTGCACACAACAATGTCCCACAAACAGCCAGGACATGAGTGACTCCAATGAGAAACTCACTTCGTTTTTGTACAGTGTCGCGGGATCTTAAACGGCCACCTGAAGAGGCAAACTGGGCCACAGTTTAACAAGTACGGCACCTCCGACAAACTAAGGGGAGCATAAGGGAGGACTATATGGTAGGGTGACTATATTTTGTAAACCAAATCAGGGACACATACAAACAAAACTGAACTCACCACAGTTCCTGATCCTGGCAGTTACTGGAGAACTGTGTATTTCTCTGACCAGTGGATCTGTTTCAGAATGTTACTGTTCTTGGTCAGTTTCAAACTGAACTCAAATTTGGCTCCAGGGATACAATACCTTATCCAAGGACTGTCCCTGGAAATCGGGAACGTATTGTCACCCTACTATAGCGGGTCGAAGTTGTGACATGGGGCTTGAACCGCAAACCTTCTGACTTGGGGGTACGAATGGTTAGCCTAGCTTAGTCTAAGATAACACTCCAATGTGTCCAATGTAGTGCTGGTGGGATGTCGGAGGTGCCGTCCTTTTGGATGAGATGGTAAACCGAGGTCCCATCTGCCTGTTCAAGTGGAATGATCCCATGACACTATTTGAAAAGAAAAGGGAATTTCTCTCTGAGTCCTGGCCAACAAATCCCCCAAATAAAATTGGACACTCACTCCATGGCTGTTTTAGGACTTCGCTGTGCGCAAATTGGCTGCTAGTTTCGAACACAAAATACACAGTCAACTCCACTTTATGCCGTGAAGAACTTTGCGACATCTCAGCGACATGTTAAGGCTCTATACCAAATGCAAGCATTATTATGATTATTATTACTAACTGAGCCAGGATAACACACACACACACCAACCAACCCAATAATAATCATAATAATCCTTGCAATAAAAACAGAATTCATTGGTAACACTCAGCAGGTCTATGCAGAGCGGAAAGTGAGGTAACATTTCAAGTTGATGACTTTTCGTCAGAACGATGACATTTCATTGAAACGTTAACTCGCTTTCCTCTCTCCATAGATGCTGAGTTTTCCTAGCAATTTCTGTTTTTATTTCAGATTCCCAGCATCGGCTGCATTTTGCGTTTTACATAATAAAATATTTTTATATAATAATCCTTGCATTTACTACAGCGCCTTATCACGTCTTCCAGACATCTCAAAGTGCTTCACAATATATACTGTAAAGTATATAGTGGAGTCCTGTAGCTCAGTGGTTAGAGCACTCGCCTCACAACCGAGAGACCTGGGTTCGATTCCCGGCACGGTGAAACCTTGGGCAAGTTTCCTTACTCCACACGGCTGATAATAATCCCTCAAGAAAAAAAATAAATTGGTCACTTCAATCCACGACTGTTTGTGGGACACTGCTGTGCGCAATTGGCTGTCGCGTTTCGGCCACAAATATACATTCAATTCACTGTACAGTCTATTCTGTGAAACGCTTTGAGATGTCGAGAAGATGTGATAAACGCTATATCAAATGCACGGATTATTATTGTTATAAAGTGTAGTGACCGTATTTTGTGGATTGTTATTATGAATAGGTTATGAATAGAACAGAATAACCCATTGCATTCTGAATAGCAACCCTGCAGCATGTGTTAGGTACAAGAGCTGAGCTGTGTCCAGAGGGTGGGGGGAAACTGTGCTCTCAGTGGGGGGGGGGGGGGAGACAGGGCCACTGTGCTCCCAGAGGGGGAGAGGGGCCACTGTGCACCCAGAGGGAGGGGCACCATGCCCATGGGTGGGGGGAGGGGTGCACTGTGCTCCGGGTTGTGGGGGGGGGGTGGGCACCGTGCTCCAGGGTGGGGGGATGGGGCACTGTGCTAGGGGGGGGAGGAGGGGGCACTGTGCTGGGGGAGGGGGAGGGGCTGTGCTCGGGGTGGGGGGGGCACTGTGCTGGGGGGGGGAGGAGGGGGCACTGTGCTGGGGAGGGGCTGTGCTCGGGGTGGGGGGAGGGGCTGTGCTCGGGGGGGGAGGAGGGGGCACTGTGCTGGGGAGGGGGAGGTGCTGTGCTCGGGGGGGGGGGAGGAGGGGCACTGTGCTCGGGGGGGGGGGGGGAGGAGGGGCACTGTGCTCGTGGGGAGGGGGGGAGGGGGCACTGTGCTCGGGGGGAGGAGGGGGCACTGTGCTCGGGGGGGGGGGGAGGGGGGCACTGTGCTCGGGGGGGGAGGGGGAGGGGCTGTGCTCGGGTGGGGGGAGGGGCTGTGCTCGGGGGGGGGGAGGGGCTGTGCTCGGGGTGGGGGGGAGGGGGAGGGGCTGTGCCGGGGTGGGGGGGAGGGGCTGTGCTCGGGGTGGGGGGGGGAGGGGCTGTGCTTGGGGGGGAGGGGCTGTGCTCGGGGTGGGGGGGAGGGGCTGTGCTCTCGGTGTGGATGTGGATGAGAGGGCGGGGCGTGGGCAGGAAGTGGTTGCTAAGGGGGGAGGCGTCACTTCCTTGGCAGCGGCGGGCGGGAGGGAGGGAGGGAGGAGTTAATTGTGAGGCGGCAGCAGAGGTCGGGGTTGGCGCTGTTCACCATGAGCTCCTCGGCGCGGCGGCTGCAGACCAAACCGGTCATCACCTGCCTCAAGACCTTCCTCATCGTCTTCAGCTTCTTATTCTGGGTGAGAGGCCCTCGGGCGGGTTGGGGAGAGAGGGGCCCCCGGGCGGGCGGGCCCCGGACCTGGTACCTGTTGGGCTGCGATAGACTCGCTCCCGGCTTGTCACACACACACACACACAGTCACACACACACACAGTCACTCACACACACAGAGTCAGACACACACACACAGTCACACACACACACAGTCACTCACACACACAGAGTCACACACACAGAGTCAGACACACACACACACACAGAGTCTCTCTCACACACACACACACAGTCACACACACAGAGTCAGACACACACACAGAGTCACACACACACACAGAGTCACACACACACACACAGAGTCAGACACACAGAGTCACAGACAGACACCCACAGTCAGACACACAGAGTCACAGACACAGTCACAGACACACACAGAGTCAGACACACAGTCACAGACAGACACACACACAGACAGACACACACACAGACAGACACACACACAGACAGACACACAGTCAGATACACACACAGTCACAGACAGACACAGTCACAGGGTCACAGACACACACACAGACACTGGAGAGGTGTATTTCCTCGTCTTAAACTTCTGGTTTAGTCTCAAAAAATTTGGGGGAATTTAAACTTCAAACTTTTTTTCGAAACTTTTTTTAAAAAACTACTGAAAAGTTAAGAAACTGATTTTTTTTGTTTTTAAGAGCTTCGTAAAAGTTTTTATTCTCTCCTCAAAACTTAAAGGGAGAGAGAGAGAGAGTTTTTTTGTTAAGAAAATAAAAATTCCCAACTTTTTTCGCGACTATTTTTGGGGGGGGGATTTTTTTTCCTCATTCGTTAAAATGATTCTTTGGGGGGGAAAAAAAGCTTTTTTCAAACTTTTTTTCCAATTTAACTTACACCAACTATTAAAGAAAACTATATACAAAAAACACAACAAACTGAGTGAGACCCTGTATTTTAACTTTTTTTTTAGTGCAAGTTTCTCTCCTTGTTCCTGGGACCGTGTGTTAAAATTATGGCTGATGTGGAAAAGTTGTCTGTGTGTCTCTTTCTCTCTCTCTCTGTGTCTGTCTGTCTCTCTCTCTCTGTATCTCTGTCTGTCTCTCTCTCTGTGTGTCTCTGTCTGTCTCTCTCTCTCTCTCTCTCTCTCTCTGTGTGTCTCTGTCTGTCTCTCTCTGTGTGTGTCTGTCTCTCTCTCTGTGTGTGTCTCTGTCTGTCTCTCTCTCTGTGTGTGTGTCTCTCTCTCTCTCTCTGTGTCTCTGTCTGTCTCTCTCTCTGTGTCTCTGTCTGTCTCTCTCTCTGTGTCTCTGTTTTTCTCTCTCTCTCTCTCTATCTGTCTCTGTGTCTCTGTCTCTCTCTCTCTGTCTGTCTCTGTCGGTCTCTCTCTCTGTGTCTCTGTCTGTCTCTCTGTCTGTCTCTGTCGGTCTCTCTCTCTGTGTGTCTCTGTCTCTCTCTGTGTGTCTCTGTCTGTCTCTCTGTCTCTGTCTCTCTCTGTGTCTGTCTGTCTCTCGCTCGTTATCTCTAACTCCTTTTGTTTGAGGCTATTCTGTCGCGGGTTCTTGCCTTTTCGTCGGGGTTTTGTTGTTGTTACGTGATTCAGCCTCTTGTCGACTCTTTTTGCCTTCTGCCGACTTTTTCTTTCTTTGAGGATTTCTCTCTCGCTCTCTCTTTAGGATTTCTTCTTTCTCTCTCTCTCTGCGATTTGTTCTTTTTCTGTCTCTCTCTCTGAGAATCTCCCCTCCCTGAGTTTACTCTCTCTCTCCCTTCCTCTGGGTATTTCACAACTTAAATCAGCCTGAGAAATGAGGTTGCCTTGCCTGCCTCTTTGTAGTCCTATCCTAGGAGAGTAGTTTTCTTTGTGTGTTCACTTCATTTGTTTCTTGGAGCCTGTTGCCCTATGTTTGGAGTTGGTGAACACAATCGAAATTGACTATAAATTTGTGATTGTTTTTCGTCCTCCAGAATTGTTTTAATCTCCATGTATCGAGTACTTAAGAGTCAAATCAGAAGGGATTGTTTGGCCTTGATCCCTGGTTGATTAGCATTTATTCCCTGCAAAATGGGGAAAAAATCCTCTTTCACAAAGACTTGGTGAGAGGGTGTAACATAACTGGTGTCACCGAGTAGTGTTGTCTCTGCCCACTCCCCCACTAATTATCAGCCTCTTGAATCAAGGAAATTTGCTAATTTGCTGCTTTCCCTGCTCACGCATCCTGTTTCTCTCAGACGAATAAGGGTTTTTGAAACTGCAGGAGAGAAAAATGCTTTCTGTGATACTGTAGTTACTGACACTCTACAGCTCTTTTGAAATGGATTCTGTGGAATTTGTGAACGAAGGGCTGTACTCCAGAAACTCACCTGAGCCTACTGTTTAACATCTGGTTTGTTTTCATAACTTCCCACATGGAAATGCAAATTCCTACTTTTAACAGGTCCAGTGCATTTTCATACTTTCCAAAACATGTTCCTATTTCTGCAGGGAGACGAGAAAGAATAGTTTTTACTCCATTTGTAATTCAAAGCTTCTGAGTAATTACTATCATATGTCCTGACTCTTAAGTGTAGCCCAGAAACCACTGTTCAAACTAGTTTTTAGAAGTACAGTATGTGGATTGAAAAAGACTGGGAAGTCAGCATTTAACTTGGAGTTAGATTCTAGAGAGAAACATTTGATGCCACCAGGAACATTTATTGGACTGGTGGATGGGATGCTTGGAGTATGTCATCATGTTGACTGGCACAAGGTTTATAGTATTTGTACCACTTTGCTCCAAAATGTTCACCTACAAAAAAGCTATCACACTTTACAGTACATCATGTGTGAAGTGCTTTGACTCGATTTGATGTGAAAAGCGCTGTAAAATGTTAATAGAAGAGGTGGAGCATTATGCAGCCTAATGAGGAGCCATGAACTAATTAAACAACTGTGGAAAATCTTGTTTGACTTGCTAAAATTCTAGAATTTATGTCCTCTAAAGTGTTTACTGTCAACCGTCATTGAAGGGTCAACAGCTAGAAGTGGTGTAGACAAGTTAATTTCTATGACTGGAACATTCCAGCTGTTTTTGTTGCATTTGATGGATATTGAATAAATTATACTTTTGTAGTACGACTCTTGTTACGCCACATGGTGTAACAATATGTGATATTGTGACAAATTAACTGAATATAGTATGCCCCAATTGCCTTTCAACCTCTGAAGTTCAATCCTTAAATGCACCTTGCTACTACAAAAAGTAGATTTTTGATAGATTAATGTTGAGGGCTTGTTAAAGCTGCCATGTTGCATGGACTGCAGTGGATCCTGTACGTAGGAATTAAGAGCAGGAGTAGGCTACTCGGCCCCTCGAGCCTGCCCCGCCATTCAATAAGATCATGGCTGATCTTCTAACCTAACTCCATCTGCCCGGGTTATCCGCATATCCCTTAATCCCTCTATCCTTTAGAAATCTATCAATCTCAGTCTTGAATATGTTAAGGACTGAGCATCTACAGCCTTCTGGGGTAGAGAATGCCATAAATTCACTACCCTCTGAGTGAAGAAGTGTTCCCTCAACTATGTTCGAAAAGGCTGACCCTTAATCTTAAGGCTGTGACCCCTAGTTATAGATTCTCCTACCAGGAGAAACAGTCTCACACTGTCTGTCAAGCCCCATAAGAATTTATATGTTTCTATAAGATCACCCCAAATGCTTCTATATTCTAGAGAATATAACAACAACAATAACTTAGATTTATATAGCGCCCTCCATGCCGGATGGCGTCTCAGAGCCTAGTTTACTCAACCTATCCTCATAGGTCAACCACCTCATCCCAGGAACTAACCTAGTGAATCTACACTGCAGCCCCTCTAAAGGCGAGTATGTCCTTTCTTAAATAAGGAGACTAAAACTGGACACAATATTCTAGGTGCGGTCTCACCAAGGCCCTATACAGTTGCAGCAAGACTTCACTACTCTTGTATTCTAACCCTTTTGCAATAAACGCCAACATGCATTAGCCTTAGTTGCTTGCTGTACCTGCATACTAACTTTTTGTGACTGGTGTACAAGGACACCCACATCCTGTAGCTCAGTGGAGTCCTGTAGCTCAGTGGTTAGAGCACTCGCTTTGCAAGTGAGAGACCTGAGTTCAATTCCAGGCAGAGGGCGAAACCTTGGGCAAGTTTCCTTACTCCACACAGAGCCTAATAATAATCCCTCCAAAACAAAACTAATAAATTGGTCATTTTCAATCTACGACTGTTTGTGGGACATTGCTGTGCGCAATTGGCTGCCGCATTCGCCCATAAATATACAGTCAATTCACGTTACAGTGTGTTCTGTGAAGCGCTTTGGGACGTCCTCCTGACGTGAAAAGCCTATATCAAATGCAAGGATTATTATTATTATTATTATCCCTCTGAACACTAACACTATCTCGTCTCTCTCCCTCTAGAAAATAATCTGCTTTTCTGTTTTTACTACCTGGGTGAATAACTTCACACTTCCCCACATTATATTCCATTTGCTACCTTCTTGCCCACTCATCTAGCCTATCTGTATACCTTTGCAATATTTTTGTGTCATCCTCAGAGCTTACTCTCCCGCCTAGCTTAGTATCATCTGCAAATTTAGATATTTTAAGTTCCATGTCCTTGTCTGGATCATTGATATAGATTGTAAATAGTTGAGGCCCAAGCACTGATCCTTGTGGCACTCCACTAGTCACATCTTGCCAATCTGAGAAGGACCCGTTTATCCCTACTCTCTGTTAGCCATTCTTCGATCCATGCTAATATATTGCCTTTATTTCCATGGGCCCTAATCTTGTGTAGCAGCCTTTTATGTGGCACCTTGTCAGATGCCTTCTGAAAATCTAAATACACTACATCTACTGGTTCCCCTCCTATCTAACCTGCTAGTTACATCCTCAAAGAACTCTAAAAGATTCCTTTTTCTAAAGCCATGTTGACTCTGCCTAATCAAAGTACCCCACTATGACGTCCCTAATTAAGGATTCTAGAATTTTCCCTTCTACCGATGTCAGACTAACTGGTATATAGTTCCTCATCTTCTCTCTCCCACCTTTCTTAACTAGTGGTGTTCCGTTTGCGATCTTCCAATCAATGGGAACCATTCCAGGATCCAGAGAATTTTGGAAGATCAAAAACAAGGCATCCACTATCTCAGCAGCCACCTTTTTTAAAACCCGAGGATGCAGGCCATCAGGTCCAGGGGATTTGTCATTTTTCAATCCCAACAGTTTCTCCAGTACTAATTCTTTACTGATGTTAATTTCCCTAAGTTGCTCACTAACAATAGCTTCTTGGTTCCCCTTGATTTTTGGTAAGTTTTCAGTGTCTTCTAACATGAAGACAGAAGCAAAGTATTTGTTTAAGACTGCCATATCTTTATTCCCCATTATAATTCCTCCTGTCTCTGCCTGTAATGGATCCACATTCACTTTTGATAGTGATAGAGAGTCTGTACTAGAGCAATGCTTCAGTGGCTAAGTTTTAACAAATATTCTGTATTCCTGGTGACAAGCCGGGACTGTCGAGCACCTTGGGGCATCCTCCTGAAGTGAAAGGTGCAATATAAATGTAAATTTGTATTGGAATTTCTGAGATCTTGCACAGATATTGCAACAACTTACAATTGACATAATTTGTCTTTTCTATAACACATTCTCCTAAAGGTGACTCTTGTTCAGATATTAGTTGACCCCAGTAGCTCTCTTGCTATCTTAGCCAAGAGAGCGTTATTTGTATTATAGGAAGGGTGCAGGCCCCTTTAATTTATTGGAATATAGGTAGGTTACAGTTGTAGAGAGCATCACATCTGAACTTCATTCTGCACCATCTTTCCAGGTTACTGGATATTTGGAGTGATAGCTGACTTTAGTCTAGTGTCCTCGTGCAAATTCCTGCCTTGACTTGATGAGGAAGCCATCTGTTATAGGGGGTATTGAGATGTTTATTATTAATAATAATATAATAATCCTTGCATTTGATATAGCACTTTTCACGTTTTCTCGACGTCTCAAAGCGCTTCACAGAATAGACTGTAAAGTGAATTAACCGTATATTTGTGGATGAAACGTGGCAGCCAATGTCCCACAAACAGTCGTGGATTGAAAATGACCAATTTATTATTGTTTTGTTTTGGAGGGATTATTATTAGGCGTGTGAGTAAGGAAACTTGCCCAAGGTTTCGCACTGCCTGGAATTGAACCCCGGTGTCTCACTTGCAAGGCGAGTGCTCTAACCACTGAGCTACAGGACTCCACATTCCTGGAGATGTGCCCAGTGCCATGGCTACCATCAGCAAATGTAGTATCCATCTTAAAGATTGTTTGTTCATAGCAAGGATTCCCTCATGTATGGGGACAGGACGAGAGAATAACTTTCTGAGAAAAGAGTGGACCAGGGGTTAAATCATTTTGGTTAGCTGGGTGTCTGAACTTGTAGAAACCCGTCACCATGATTAAATCTTGGATTACAAGATCAACAACAATTTGCATATATATGGTGCCCTTCACCCGGGTTAGCATCTAGTAGAGTTTAACAGTGGTGGAGTTTGACATTGAGCACGATGAAAGAGGAGGATCTTCAGATGGGATGTGAGATGGGATAGACTGAGGATTGAGTGGCTTTAGGAGACTGGTATGAGCTGGTCCTTTGCATTCTTGGAAACACGAGATGACCATGTGCAAGAGAAATGCCTTGCATTTGTAGTAACATCTTGTGCTCCCGAGAACGATAAGCTCTTAATTGCTTTGAACATATTAAGGAAGAGATTTGCTCACTTATAGTATTGTGATCACCTTAAATGGGCACTTGTCTTCTAATTTTTGCCAATTTGATTGGCTCTTATTGTTGCTCGAGTGAAGAGCAAGATAGGATACCTATCTGCCCCCCTTGTTGGAGGGAGAAATGAGGGTGCATAGTGACTATTGAAGACTCCTTGAGTAATGAATTTCAATTCAATGAGTATTGAATTTCAATCCAAATTCTAAACGAGGCTGCTTTGCACAGGAATTTCACCAGGCTGTCTCCAAACGGTATCTAATCTTTTGAAATCTTATTGCTCTGGTGTAATGCCTTGCTTGAATTTCAGTAAGCGGCCTTTGTAACTAACGAGAGATCAGTCTGACCAGTATATAGCCTTATGTACCTTTGTTCTACTGTACAAATGTGACTGGGCAGTTCTGTATGCTGTTGTGTTCCTCTGAAATACACTGGTTTAACTAGAAGAGATTAAATACTATGCCAACCTTTATTCCTTTGCACACAGCATATGGGTGAATACTGACTGATTTTAATGTGAGGACTTGTTCAGGGCTATCGTAGAATTGTCCTACATATTGAAGGCACTACTTTGTTGCAGCACCAAGCCTTTGCACTGTCCATAACTATGTGACTTGGTGTCCGAATTGCAATCTGGCATTGAAAGAGGTGCTACCTTAAAATTAAAGTCAGTTGATACTCGGCTCTCAATATTTTCTGTTTTAGCTGCTTTCAAATGGCAAGTGCATTTTTGAACATGAACATTTGTGCTGCTATTGATTGGAGTGTATTGTACCCAGGCCGCTGAACCGACCTTTTGAGTTTTACTGAAAAGCCAGCTGAAAATCGATTGGGAAATTGCAAAATTTGGTAATCATAGCACAACCATTTACACAAGGAAGGTAGCTGAGCGCTATGAGTGGACGAGATGTAAATGAAACAGTTGCCTGTGCTGCAAACTAAATCTGAATCTTGCATTTGGTGTAGTACCTATCAAGTTGCAACATCTCCAAGTAGAACTATAATGACTTGAGTATTTGTAGGCATTCAGAACAGCCCTTTTACACAAAGCCGTGTCCCACAAGCGGTCATGAAGTCAATGGAGAATTTGTGGCTGGGATACTAAGAAATGTTTTCAAACAGTGTTATGGGATCTTTAATGTTCATCTGAACAGGTAGCTGGAACCTCAATTTAACACCCTCTGAAGCATAGCAGCTCTCGATAATGCAGCACTGTCGCCCCTTCTGAATTCAGACCCAAAATAGTGACTGCATGTCACAATAAAATCTTGTGAAGTGTTCTGAGACACTATCCTCATGACAGTATATTTGTAGGAAAACTTGTAAAAATGGTAGACCTTTAAAGATGGCAAGTCTTCCACACTAATTGTCTAATGTTTACATTTTCTCTTATCATTTAACTTCTTGAACCTACTGTTTTTATAACTTGGGGTGAAAAGCAATCTCTGGTTACCAAACAGCTGCAACGTAAGGTGTACTTTGTGCTTGTTTTAACATTGCTTCAGTAGAATTTTTTTCTAAAATGAGTAATGTTACAGTAGAAATGAAGTGTTGGAAATAGCAGGTCAATTGGTGACAGAGAGGGATGGGTTGAAGGTTCAGCTATGAACCTGTATCAGAACATTATGATCATCTTAAATGGTTAAGTTCAGCGGATGGGTTTATTATAAACAAACTGCTTAATATTTGTTTTTCAGATTACAGGGGTGGTGTTGTTGGCAGTAGGAGTATGGGGTAAGTTGAGTCTGGAAGAGTACCTGGCTCTTGTAGCTGACAAAAGCACAAATGCTCCTTATGTGCTTATTGGAACTGGTGCAACTATCATTGTATTTGGCCTTTTTGGATGCTTCGCAACATGTCGAGGCAGCACGTGGATGCTGAAATTGGTATGTACTTAATTTATCTCCACTACTCTATCATCTCTAACTACAGTTTGCTTCATGTGCAATGCGAGAATTGAGCAGAACAATTATGCTTCCTGAAAATGATGATTTGTGTTTGGTCTTTCCCCTCTTGAAAATGCTGATGCCTTTGGTGCATCGGTTTTGATTGCCTTGTGGCACATTGCCCAAATGAACCATTCACTCTTGTGTGATTCTAGATGCCATATTTGACAGGACGTGACAATAGAGAGATTGCATTACAGTTGAGTGCAATCCTCTCATTGCTGGGGTTTGGCATGTAACGGTCTCCAGCAGAGGTCACTGAACAGTGATCAGGATTGCAAATGCTGGCTGGCTTTCTCTCCCTTCTGAGGCCAATTGTCACACTTCTGTGCTGCCTTGGGAGAAATCAGTTTAACTCAACACAGGCTCCTTCTTTCCCCTCCAGTCTTGACTTTTTATTAATCATTGCCTCAGTTAAACTAACTCTAAGGTATATAACTAAATTTGTGTTTAAACTGTTAGTTCTTTATTATGGGTTATAGTTTTGCAGCCTCGCTCACTGTTTCTGACTTCCCCGATAAACTGTTCAAGGACTGAATGGTTTTGAAGAACGTGTACAAATTCTTTTGTCTCATTTCACAATCAGTCCCAGAAACAAATTGTTTTGAAGAATTAAGGCAGAGTGGGCAGCTGGCTGGCTCCTAATCCTGGAATGGTGGTTGCACCTGCGATTACAGAAATGTTTGCTTTAATTCAGTATCGTAAACCAAAATCTTTTTGTAAGACTGGAATGTGATCTTTGTTTTTCTTTGCCAGTATGCTATGATCCTGTCACTCCTCTTCCTGGCACAAATTGTAGCTGGAATTTCCGGGTTTATCTTCCGCCATGAGGTAAGGATTGGTTCTTCACTTTAACCACTCTTTTGCTTTGGATTTCCAGTTCATGAATTGATTGTGTTAAATGTGTTGGGCTTGCATTGTGGGATTGTTTGAGTCTGAGTATAGCTGCTCTGTTTTTTTTTTGCTCTATCCTGTCTCATCCTCTACATGATACACTAGAGTAGGATTTGTTAGCATTTAGCATATGTTCAGAAGGAATTACAGGTGCTCTTAATTATCCAACAACCAATGAAAAGGATCACAGGTGATTATAATGTTCGTTGCTTGTTGCCTACATAACAAAGGCATCTGTTTGCACATGTTTAACCCCAACCAGTTAATATATGTGCTTTGAGAATTGTTAATTCTGACTTGTCAGCTGACCAGTTAGATCAAGTACACTTCACTTCCAGCTTTTTCCTTCCCAGTTTGTTGCTTGAAATAGTTGCTTTTTATTTTCCTTACTTTACTGGAGTCCTGTAGCTCATTGGTTAGAGCTCTCGCTTGCAAGCGAGAGACTTGGGTTCGTTTTCCGAGAGGGCGAAACACTGGGCAAGTTTCCTTACTCCACACACCTCTGTTTACTTAGCAGTAAGTAGGAACCCGGTTGTTAGTTGATTGGGTGATTGCTCTTCTGGGGGGAATAATTCCTTCAAAAAAAATAACAAATTGTTCACTCAATCCACAACTGTTTGTGGGACACTGCTTTGCGAAATTGGCTGCTGCGTTTCGCCCACAAAAGATACAGTTAATTCACATTACAGTATATTCTGTGAAGCATTTTGAGACATCTCAAAGCCGTGATGAGGCGCTATATCAAATGCAAGGATTATTATTGAGGGAGTACATGAACTTAACGTTGCTCACTTTTCAGCCACTGCGTAGCTTGTGTGCCTCTTCATCCTCTGCAAAATGCCACTTGGTGGCTGTGATCGTGCAGTGCAATTACCCTTTGTGAAGTTAGTGCCCCCAAACGGCTAGAATAAGGTACTGTCACTCAATTGCATCTATACTAGATGTTTAAATCCAAGAGAACCGAAAATGCTTAGACCCATGATATGAAGTTAAGTCAATCAACCAAGGCTTAGCCTTCATGGAAACACACCAGCTTACTGTTTAAAATTTAAGTCTTTTACAATAAAAATGTTGCAGTAATTTTTAGTTGAAGTACAGAAGATGACTTATCTTAGTTGCTTTAGGCAGATTAGGAACACCCTATAATACTGTTTCCTCAGGGGATATATTTTGCTGAAATAACCTTGCAAAACATGCAGACTATATGGAAACGTAACTCAACGGCTTATAGTGAAAGGCTCTTGGCCTCTCAAAGAATTGAGTAAACTAATCTCTTAATGATCCTTAAATTAAAATAGTGTCAGCCGTTTTATGCCTCAGTAAAATGCTTTTGCATTGCAATTTTAAATGTCCTGTTAACTGAGCTGTGAACAGAATGTGTTGGATGTTGAACCTAAGCCAAACTTTATTCTAATACAGGTTGAGAAATGTTAACTTCTTACTGCTGTACAGTTAGTCACTGGCACGCACCTATGTGCTTGGATGTTCAGCTACCACTGCTATTTTTGATTGTTCCATGTGTCAAGTACCTGATTACTGCTCATAAATTATTTAGTTGGCAAATCTGTAATTGTTCTCCCTGCTCTCCCCTGGCCAGTATAAATTGCGTGCTTCATGTGGGACATCACCTATGCCATTTTATGGAAAGCTTTGCATCCATAGCTATCTGTAAATGTAATAATACTTGCACTTGTGGAGTGTGCAAGCAAACAAAGCTATTTTATTTGATTGAAATGGTTGCTCTTCTGTAAAGACTAGTTTAGGAAAGTGGCACCCAGGTGAGCTTGCAGTGGAGCTGTGTTCTCTTGAAGGATCTAAAACTGTAAGATCTGTAAGATAAACTGGTGATTGTGTGATGTTTATTTTGCATAGTATTTTATAGCTGCAACTTAAATACTACATTTTTGGCTTCCAACTTGAGTTTGTTTCAGAATTAAATGTCTGCATTAACTATTTTCAGATTAGAAGCATTTTCAAGGTCTCTCTGGAAAAGGCTATAAACCAATATTCTAGGAATGGAACAGACTTTCCGTTGGATTACATGCAAATTAATGTGAGTAACCAATTCACTCTAGCAACTAGTTTATTTTATGGTGAACAGTATTAGATTTAACTAGCCACTTACTGAACTGTTTAACAATAGCTGTTCAATCCAAAATAAGATCATCAACCTCCAATGTTGAAACTAATTTTTACTTTAACTGGAAACATTTCTTTATTAAACGGAAGCATTTTTTGAATCTCTAGGAACATTCAGTTGAATCTCCAATTAGAAGCAGATCAAATAGCTTTTCCAGCACTAATTACTGTGCGGAGCTTCGGTTTACTAAACTCTATTGGTTGCCCTGTAAAATAAAATGGATTAGTCTTTTGCCCCAACTCTGCATGGTATCCTGTTTTTCCTCCCAATTCCTTCCTTTGGATACAATTAATGCAGGTGCATTGCATTACTAGCTCAGAAAACATAATGGCAGACGTTTATAATTAGCAGATTTTTGCTATTATTCAACTTGCTGTTAGCAAGTCCTGCCTAAGATGTGTTGCTCATCTAACTTAGCTTTAAACCTTTCCACAACTAACTCAAATGCTCCTCGGTGCCCAGTGATTAGCCAGGGTACCCTAAAAATAAAGGTGGCAATGATATTTGCTGGAAGATTAGTGAACTAGGTGCTGGAATCACATGGCAGCTTGACAAGAATGCACTCTTTAGCATTCGCAAGGAAAATTGCTCTTTGAAAATCTGTCTGCAGCTTGTACTTCTTATTCTCTACAGTTGCATTGCTGTGGTGTACAGAACTACACAGACTGGCTTAGCACTGGCTACTTCAAAGAGAATGGAATTCCATTTAGCTGCTGTAAAAATCACAGTGACTGCAAGCCTGGAGACCTGAAGAATGCAACCATTGTGAAAGACAAAGTTTATGACACGGTAAGACTGATGTTCTTCAGATTAAATTTAGACGCTTTGAGACATCCTGGCATTAAAGGCGTTAAAATGTAAATTATACCCTTCTGTATAAATTGTCTAGCTGGGGTGCAAAAGCCTTGTTTCTTGCCAACTTGCGTCTAATACTTTCTGGAATTAGGTAAGCAAGATGCGTCCCTCCAGGGAGAGAGTGCGCATTCCATTCCAACAATCTGTCTCTGGAATTTCCGTGTGGGATGAATGGAAATTTCAGCTTGGTTTGGACACTCTTAAGCACGGTGATGGGTTTCCACATGTGTCAGTCACCCGGCTGACCCAAAAAATATAATTTGTCAATTGTGAATATAATGATTGTAAAGATGCTGCCGATAGATCTCTGGGATGAGTGGTGCCAGTGTCTGGCCAGTGTATTCGCATCTGCAATGTCACACACAGCTCACCCGTGTTTATGTGGACTTGTAGCAATGCTGTACATTCGGGTCTGACATTCAACTGGTATCTGCTCATTAAGCCTTCAAACCTTGTGAACCTCTTTTGTAGCTATGATATTGAACTGGTAAGATTTTTTTTAAAGAAATTAATGGGCTGACGCAGAGCAAAAGTGAATTGGGAACGTTTGTTGACTTGATTCCTCAGTATTGTCGAGGTCATTTATTTACTTTCAACTCTAGCTTCCTTCTTGCAATTGCAGTAACCAAACATTGCTTTGTGGAGTAAGCACTCAAAACATTATGCAGACAAGTCGAATGCTGGCTTGTACAGGGTGACCAAAAAGTTGTACTGTCTACCCTATTTTAAAAAAGACGTCATAATTTCTTTTAAGACTTATTAGACATTGTAATGATATCACGACTGTTTGGTTACCTTCCATTTGGTTCTATCCGCCCCTCAAGCAATCGCTTTGTAGTCTAAGGACACATTGATCAGCTGGAAGAAAGGCATTGAATGATCTCTGCCATTGAGTGAGTGGAAACTATAAATACTGGTACCTCAAGTCGTGCAAGTAATTCTGCTGTAAATACAGGTATTTGAAATCTCTAGTCAGCACGTAACGTGGAACTATTTGTTCTCCTTGGGAACAACTCATACATGTCTTACAACATGGCCTAAGCGTTGCTGAATCTTGGTGGTACAAATAACGTAGGCAGCCACGTAGAGTTAAAAACGCACAACAAAGTAACTTCCCTAACTATTATGTGCAATTGATGATACCATTGGTTAAGTTGGGAAAATACATAACTGACTGCAAAATATTGCTCTAAATTGGGCAGTCGCTGTTCAATATCTCTGGTATTGTGTGGTTAACTGGGCCCTGTAGTTGAGCTACTAAAAGCTCTGACTTGACGTGAAATAGTAATTGGTCGTACTTTATATTGCAGGGTTGTTTCCAACTGGTGACTAATTTTATGGAGACAAATATTGGAATCATTGCAGGAATTGCCTTTGGAATTGCCTTCTTCCAGGTATAGTCTCCAGTTGCAAATGTTTTTCAATGAGTTACTTTTAAAGTCTTCCAGTTGATATTTTCACAAGCGAAACTGAAATTTTCGAACTGTTCGTTCCCCATTCTTCCTTCAACCAAAATCCACGTATCACCTCCGTAACATCGCCCGACTCCGCCACTACCTCACCCCTCAGGCCGCTGAAACTCTTGTTCATGCCTTCATCACCTCCAGGCTCGACTGCAAATGCCCTGCTTGTCGGCCTTCCCAACTCCTCCTCCACAGGCTGCAGATAATCCAGAACTCTGCAACCTGTGTCCTCTCCTGCATCAAACTCTGTGACCCCATCTCCACCACTCTCGCCCGACTCCACTGGCTTCCTATCCTTTAGAGGATCCAGTTCAAGATCCTGGTCCTCACCTACAAAGCCCTCCATGGCCTCGCCCCACCCTACCTCTGCGACCTCCTAACCCCCTACCAACCCGCCTATTCCCTCCGCTCAGTCGGCTACGGCCTGCTTCACGTCCCCCGACCCAACTGCCCCACCATTGGCCGGAGAGCCTTCAGCCACTCTGCCCCCAACCTCTGGAATTCCATCCCCCCAAACACTCCGCCTCGCCCCCTCCTTAGCCTCCTTCAAGTCCTGCCTCAAGATCCTCCTCTTCGACCATGCCATCGGCCACTCCCCTTCCCCTCCCTTACCCCCCCCCTCTCTCCCCGCTCCCAACCCCTCCACCCCCATTCTGTTGCAAAGCTGTTTAAAGTAGATTTATGCGGCAATGGAGAATGTTTTCAAAAATAATCTTTACATGTATATAAACTACAAACCAAACTGCAGCCTTGACATGTTTTTGTTGAAATTTCAGTTTACTCCATACAAAATTTTCTCATGTGTTCTTTCTTTTTTCCCCCCCACCCACCCCCTTACCCTCAGTTGTTTGGAATTCTGCTGGCCTGCTGTTTGTCTCGATACATCACAAACAACCAGTATGAAATGGTTTAGTGGATACAATAGGTAAAGTGTGTCTTTGTAATCCTGCATGAGAAATTCTTACCCTGTGCAGTGCTACGGTGTTAGAATGGAGTTGAGCAGTGGCACAGGCTTGGGGCTTCATCATTGAACAGTTGTCATGCACAGCACAGATGTACCTGTAATTGTTTTTAATGACTGCTGTTTCCCTTGTCTATGAAACTTCAATCAAACAAGTGTCCAATCAATCAATCGATAGACTTGTTTAGTTCAAGAAGTGAGTTCGCCCACTTACTGTATGGAGTTTAATAGCAGAGCTCATCTGATCTCAACACCCACGATCTATGGTGAAGAAGTTGTCGTGTCACTTTAAATGACTGTCTGGATTATCCAGTGATCTTGCAACTTCTTGGTCAGCCCCACTATTATCATTATTGATTTCAGTCTGCTCTCTGGAAACTGGAGACTTGGCCAATTCAGACGCAAGAGAATTGGAAGCGTCACACAGCCCAGTCAGTAAATAGGCAACCAGTCTTTTTTTTTAACAGCCCTAAATGACATGAGTTGCATTCATTTTCTTAAGCTTCATTGCTTCCAATTCTCCCCAGTTGCTACCAGTTTCCATTGCAAACCTTGTTCCTAAAGCATAATGGAGCATAAAACTCTTATTGTAATCTTTGGAAATAGTCCTTGTGTAATTGATCGAGTTAAAATCTTATGAGATTACAATCTTCTTGAAGTGCTGTACTTCATGGCATTGCAGTCATTTGCAGCAAGAATGGCTTGAGTATGGTACCGTGTGAGATAACTAGAGAATTTTAAACTGAGGAACATGCAAGGAGATTTTATCCCCCCCCCCAGATAAGTTGAGTAGAAAGTTCATTCCAACTGATTTTATTAGTGTTGCTTTAAGGTGTAGGGAATGGATCACTTTGATTTAAATGCATTGAAATTTGGACTTGCATTGGGTAAGTTGGTTTCAGCTGCTGTCAAGTCTATTCGAACTGGGTTTAACTAGGATCCTTCCACGTCTTGTGTTTTTAGCATAACTGCCTTCAGAGGTCGTTGTCGTGACTCTGAGTTGAGTCTTCTTCCCTCCCCCCCAACACCCTCCTTTACCACCCCAATCCCAGGAGTAAGGACAGTTTAATTCGCCCATCCTGGTATATTGTCCACTAGCCTTTTCCAGCTATTGTCTTTATCTGTGTAGAGAGAAAATACTATAAAGAAATACAGTTCAGTTCCTGCTGGTCATAAGTGGGAAAACCAACTTTGTGATGCTGTTGGACACCAGCAAACAAACTGAAGCACAGGTTACTGTTGTCCAGTGCAAGTGCATGTTTTGTTTGCTTGTAAACCAACAAATTTGTAATGAGATACAAGTTTTGTACATTCAGTTTTTTTTTTCTCTTTCCTCTTTAGGAGACCAGGGTCAACATCAAACCTCAGTACAGTTAAGGGAACTGAGCCAGCAGAGGGACGTATTTGCTTTAAGCAAAAACAATTATTTTGTATACTGTTTTATTTGCATGCTATGGTGATGTACCACATGATGACTATGTAAATTCCTTAATTATTTGACTATTAGTTAGCAGGACTGCACTGACCAGAAATAGTACAATTATAGCCATTGGTTTGATCCAAAAGCTAAGTTAGTATTGTGCACCTACTAGCTTAAATTTTGTCTTGCGGTTTTGAATTTGTAATCCATTCTTAAGATTTAGAGTATTTTTCAAATTTAAACTTTGTGTGACCTAAGTTTATTTTTACAATTGCTTTTCCCACTGGAAGGAATGAATACTACACGGAAATATCGAATGTCTCTAGACGAATGTGAACTATTATAGAATCTGTTGCCTTTAAGGTTGAAGAGATTCCACAGTGTAACTTCACTAGTTTTCTACCTTTTGTGTATCAGTCTAGCCTATTTTCTCTTAAACTGCCAGCAGGAGCTGGCCATCTTTCTAGACTGGAGTTTTTAAGCTTGTATACAGTGATGCTGTTAACACTAATATTGCAGTAATGAAGCTGCTCACGTCAGTATTACCATAATAGCTATTATAAAATAAACACTTGGCACAATTTACACTTCAATGCTTCTTGTTCTGCCTTTACCTTTCCAGTTTATTTTGTTTCTCAATCCGTAAAACCATGTTTGTTCATTTTTGGTGCTTATTAAATGAATGAATCGTTTACACTTAAATTAATCGCAGCTGGGATGTCAGCCTGGCTCAGTTGGTAGCATGTTTAGCTCAAGTCTGAGGATTGTGGATTCAAGCCCCACAGTAGGACTTGGCTGACACTCCAGTACACCTCTAGGGAAGTGCTGCATTGTCAGATGTGCCCTCCTTTGGTTGAGACGTTAAGCTGAGTTCTTCTCTGTTCAGGTGCCACTATTCAAAGCGCAGGGAGTTTCTCTCCGTATCCTGGCCAATAAATTCCAAGATTAAATTTGTCATTTGCTTCATGGCTGTTTGCGGAATGTAGCTGTGTACAAATTTCCTGTTGTGCTCACCTACGATAGACACCCCAGTAAATCTGAAGCACTTTGAGACATTTCAATGAAGTAAGATTACTGCTCCGCCCTCGCCTCCACTAAATTGTCCTACTCCCAAGACAATCTTGGAGGCCAAAGACGACCCCAAGCTCCTCTTGTCCAACACCAACCAACCCTTCTCACACCTCGCCCATCCTCTCCTCCAACGCCAACTGTGAAAAACCAAAGTTGAGGGGATCCGCTCAGCTGCCTCTGCCCTTCTGTTTACTACCATCTCCCCCTCACACCCTGGTCCCTACCCATTTCTCCCTCCACACCTTCAAACCTGCCTCCTCCTCCTCCTCTCACCACCACGATAACCCACATGAAACCGACCACCTGCTCCCTCGACCCCATCCCTACCCCTCTCCTTACCTCCCAGCTCCACCTCCTTGCCCCTCTACTCACAGACATCATAAACCTCTCCCTGCCCACTGGCACCATTCCCACCCCTTTAAAAATGGCCATCATCCTTACAAAAGAAAAGTTGCTGATAGGATTAGGTGCCGGGTTTGCCCGCAGCTGTCTATTGCTACAATCCCATTTTAAGGGGACATGCTACCATATGAGAGATCTGAGGCTTCTGCTAGTCTTTCTGTGACTTGTATTAAGGTATGCAAGACCACCCTTTGTTTGCCTGTTCTTTGCTTAATATCTTGCCACAACATAGCAGATAAATCATGTTGGTGATGAATTGTACCATGTCTAACCACTGGTACTCGCAGATGTTTGTTTATTTCACTTGTTACTGAAGTTTTTTTAAACTAATGCTCCAAACTTTACATTGCAACATTTCCTGACTATCCTTTATTTAATAAATATTGAATGCAACATGTCTGACTTGCAACACAAAAGTAATTTAAGCTTCTACACATCCTAGGGTAGGTTTACTTGGTGCTAGTGTCTAATGGATTAACAATGTTGTACATATTAAAACCTTAATCTGCATCTACAAACTACTGCTGTTTTTGTGACTGCTCAATTGGGGTGGGGGGGGGGTTCCAATTGGGGTTCCTTGCTCAATGCTGTGCTTACTAGTAGAGGGCGAACGATGCTCAGAAAAGGCAGTTAATTGTATATGTAAGATAAAGCTTGCACTCTTTAAGACATTTAGTAGTCTTGCTGAACCAAGCTAACTATTCAGAAACATTGCCTTTTTTGGTCAGCTGGGCTGCTCGTGTAGCAATACATGGGCCAATTAGGGTCCAAGCCAGCACTCACACGTGGAAATTTTCAATTTGTCTGAATGGAGAGTGTACTCTCTCCTGGAGGGGAAGAGGGCAAAGAGAGGGACAGAATGCTTTCTGATTCTGCCGAGTGAATTTGCTAATCTGATTGCAAAAAAAAAAAATAGCAGGCACAGGGTGGCCGGAGCTAAGGCTTGGGGACCCCATAGTGTGTTGGGGAACTGCTGGGGTTTGACCAATGAAATAAACATCCTTAAGTTAAACATAAGTTTGTGCTTCACAGAGTATGCTGTGGAGTGTATTATTTGATGTAGTGTTAGAGTACCACAGACTTGTCTGTGTCAGGAATTGGACTCCTGAGACTGAAACAAAGTGTGGACTCCAGCTATCCCCAAGGATGTGTTGGCTTATCCTATCTCCCCAACCCCCTGCCCCCCAACTCCGACCCCAATCTAGCAGCTAATTGTATATTAAATGCCTGACACAGGCAAGGTTGACCCCTTGTTCGATGGGATAGCAGGAACTCCTGTCTGTGATCAGCACAACTTGGCATGAAATGTCTGAGCATTAATGTGTGAGCCTCGTCCCTGCCAAGGTACAGACACACCTACCTGTTGAATGAGGGTCAACTATTTGGAAGTGATGTGCTTCAGTAGCAGCTGCTGTTTATGACTTTGTGCCAATCAAGGTACCAAGCCCTGGATATGAGGGTGTGTTCGCATTCTTTGATTCCAGACTGATTTTAATATGCCAGCCACCCTTGTGTTCTGGAGCCTCGATGCTCTGTCCCAGGAATCCCTGGATAAGATAAAATCTTAAGATTTGGGCCATGTACTCACACAGCTTCCTGCTTCTGTGAGAGGGATTCAACAGCCGCAAGTTTCAAAATCTTACAGAAATTGGTAAATGCAACCTAGGTGGATTTTCCTGAGCCTTACGGTGTTCCACAATCTCATATCCTGCCCTAACCCCTCACGAGAGCAGAATCCAACCTGTTCCTTCCTGAATGAACTGCAGGTCTCAATGTCCTCTGACATTGGTACAATGACTACCTGAAATATGACCTCCAGAGATGCTAAAATTAGTGAGATTCCTCTATAGTTCTTGGTCTCGCTTGGGGTGCCTAGAATTGTACCCTAGAGCACTGATGATATGTGTTAGCAGGGGCAGCTCCCAGGCTAGTTGACCATTGCTGCCTTGATATCTAAGACCTTGGCCATTCTTCATCCACAACAACAACAACAACAAGATTCCATTTATAAAGCGCCTTTCACGTCAGGAGGACGTCCCAAGGTGCTGCACAGTTGGGTCATGACCCGAGCAGGGGGGAAATGGTCAGGGTGAGGGAAGGGAGGGAGCAAGGAGGGGGGAAATGGTCAGGGTGAGGGGAGGGAAGGGAGGGAGCGAGGAGGGGGAAGAGAGTCGAGAGGGGATCCAACCCCCACGGAGCAGCTTTTAGGGACTGAGCACTAATGCTCTCTGTATCTGTCACGTTACCATTAGATCCTGTGTGGTGTCCACTTCCTACCAGCAGACTGGAACTGCAACCGATTAGGAAAGCCAAATAAAGTCCACCCAGCATTGAACAGTTAATCTTCAAACCAGTGCTTCCTATTCTCTTGCACTCTGTACATTTCCTCAATTGAACTCTGATGTACTCTCTGCACCCTATTGTTTACAAGTCAAATGTTTATTCAAATGCTTGCTCTTCTTTAAAAATATTGCTAGCAAGTGCAATTTTAAATGGTCTCTTATCTTTAGTGTACACTTCAGCCTCATTCGATCAAGGTGACCGTTTAGAAACTTTCAATTCCTTGCGGCAGGAGGAGTCTAAGCCTCCGAACGTTTGGCTGAAAAGAAATCTTCGATATATTAATTGCACAGTTGATGAGTTGCTTCAGAAATGTCTTTTATTTGGCTTTTGCAACTGTTATTTTCTCAATATACAATTGTTTTTGATTTGCATTGTATACGGGGCAGGTTAGGAAACCACTTGTGATCCTGAAATATTGATCGATCTGTATTTGTAGAGGAATCACAATTCAAACATTAACCAATTGTTTCACGATCCATTGTCCACTTCAATTGAGTTACACTACAGCTCTCAATACATCAAGTCAGCAAGACCGAGACGCTCCTGATTGGCTCGCGCCAGCACCTCCGCACCTCTGGCCCTGGTACCACAGCTGCACACTCATCCTCACTAAGCCAGTCAGGAACCTGGGTGACTTGTTTGACCTTGAACTGTCCTTTCTCCCTCACATCCGCGCCATGACCGGCACTGCCTACCACCACCACCGCAACATTGCCAGACTCCGCCACTGCCTCCCCCTCAGGCTGCTGAAATCCTCACCCACGTATTCATCGCATCAAGGCTCGATCACGGAAACTTGCTCCTCATTGGCCTTCCCAACCCTTCCCTTCACAAGCTGCAGGTCATCCAAAACTGCAGCTCATGTACTCTCATGCACCAGGCTCCGTGACTCCATCACTCCCACCCTTGTCCGACTCCACTGGCTCCCCATCCCCCAGAGGATCGAGTTCAAGATCTGGTCCTCACTTTCAAGGCCATCCATGGCCTTGCCGCCTCCTACCTCTCTGACCTGCTGACTCCCTACCAACCTGCCCATTCCCTCCATTCAGCGCGCTCTGGTCTGCTCCATGTCTCCGCCCGACCCGCCCTACCATCGGTGGCCGGGCTTTCAGCCTCTCTGCCCCCACACTCTGGAACTCCATCCCACAGTCCCTTCACCTCGCTTCCTCCCTTGCCTCCTTCAAGGTCGGTCTCAAGACACTTCTCTTTGATCGTGCCTTGAGTCTCCCTCCCACCTCTCTGCCTTCCCTCACCCCTACCCCACCCCTCCTCCTTGCTCGGGTCCTGACCTCTGACTGTCCAATGCTTGGGACGTCCTCCCGATGTGAAAGGCGCTCTATAAATAATTTTGTTGTTGTGACAACGGAAAATGGTGCTTCTTTTAATCCTTGCGTTTCTTATCACATCATCAAAAGTCTCGAAAGTGTTTCAGAGAATTTTACTGTAAAATGTAGCGCATATTTATTTTGTTGGTGAACACAGCAGAAAATTTGTGCAAAGCAGTAGCCTTGAAGTGAATAACCAATTTTATTGAATGGAGTCAAAACACAAAATACTGCAGATGCTGGAAATCTGAAACCAAAACAGCTGCGAACACTCAGCAGGTCAGGCAGCATCTATGGAGAGAAAGGAAAATGAGTCAACAATTCGGGTCCACAACCCTTCGTCCCTTCGTTGTCTCACTTTCCTTCGCCATAGATGCTGCCTGACCTGCTGAGTGTTCTCAGCGACTTCTATTTTTGTTATTGAACGGGGTTGTGGGGGGCAGGACGCTAGAAGCAACTCCTTTATCTTTTTGATTTTCTGTCACAGGATCTTTAACGTGGCAGACAGTTTGGCTCATCTAAAGGACAGCAACCGAGACAATGCAGGTCTCTCTCCCCAGAACTGCGTTATGCTAAACTATGAGCTCAAAATCCCCAACTGGGTCTTGAACCCACAACTTTCTGGCTCAGAGACAAGGGTGCGACCAAATAAACCAGGCTTGATTGGAGAAACCAAATGCTGTATCTTCACTTGGGATAAGGCATTGTGTTGAGTTACGGAGGGAGATATTTATTCTTTATTCTGCATCTAAATGTGTTTGCTGACCTGGGAGTGTTTGATGGTGAAATTGAGTATACAAAATGGAAATTTCCAACTCACTCCGAGCACTAACGTCTCTCACCTTGAACGCAATGTTTGCCATAAAAGAGTCATGCTGAATGCGATTAAAAAAAAAGAAAGTCCACAAATCCTGGCATCTCCGTACTACATGTTATGGATAGCTTTTGCTGTTACACTTAAGAAACTATGATTTTAGCTGCTTGCTTTCAAACTTATTGTAAGAAAATTGTGAATGCCTGTGGCCAATGGAGGGCGCTCTAAGATTCCTTCGATCCCGAGTGGAGCTTTCAATGTTTGTTTAACCAAAGTTATTTTGTTCTGTTCAAAACAGTGTTGAACTCTTGCTGTAGAACAAGTTAGCAACCCAGATCTGTTTCATTAAGCTGTGTGAACAAACTTCTGTCTTAAGCCTCTCCATGCTTCCTTTAGCAAGTACAGTACGCCCCTATCCTCTGGAACTCCATCTCTCTGCTCCCCCACCCTTTTCCAAGACATTAAAAATCCGCCACCCGCATTCTCACTGTGCTCAACTCTGTACCCCCATTACCCCAGAACTCGTCAAACTCCATTGGCTCCCTGTTGCAATGAGGATCAATTTCAAGATCCCTCACTCTTGCATTTAAATCCCTTCACGTCCCACCCCCACACCATTTCTCCACCTGCTCTCTCCCTCTATTACTACCCTCTGTCTCTGCTCGACTGTCTCTGGCCTCCCCCTTGTCCCCCGGACTCTCCGCCCCGCCATCGGCGGCTGTGCTTTCAGCCACTACGTCCCGAAGCTGCAGAACTCTCTCCCTCAATTCCTTCGCCTTGCCCCCTTCCCCATTTTCAGGTCGCGCTTACCTGGTTGCTCCTCTTCAACTATGCCTACGGTCCCCTTCCCCCATCCCCTAGCTCGGCATCAGGCTCCACAACTGTTCTCAAGCACTCGGACGCTACCCCCCATGAATGGCGCTATCTAAATGCAAGTTGCTGTTATCTTACATGATGTGCACTGTATAAACACAAGTTGTTATTGTACATATTGCAGTGTCCATTTGACAAGACTTGAAGTGGGGGAGAAACCTGCACACACAGGTCATTGCGGTGTTCCAGTGGAGCATTGCCAATGTACATTTAAGAGGTACAGAGGGGAAAAAACCCACGGATCTCCTATTGGATACCAAACTTTGCTTAACCTACGAGCAAGACAACTAATTCCTGGAACAAACATTCTCGCAACCTTTTGTGCGGGTTCAGGAGTTCTGCAAGAAAAAACTGATTTCCACTGAGAGCTATATTTGCAAGTTTGTTTAGCCAACGAGGAGATCGAACTTAGCATACGTAGCACCTGTTGTGAAACCCACCGTGGTACAGAAATGCCTAGCTGTTAAATGTTGAACGTTGCTCTGCATTGTCTCACAAATAGGCGTGCTGGCTTTAAAAAGGTTCACAGAGCTGTTTTTCAAAATAATCTGTTTCCGAACACATTAGCATTTCAAACCAAATATCAAATATCTTTATTCAGATCGATCACTGTAGCATTGATCCGGACTGTAAAGACAGCAACGTTGCTAAATTTATGACAATGAAATCCTTTTCAGTTATGATCGCAGCAGTGACACAAAGATTAAACTTGCCTCACACATCACTACAGTTTAGTTTATGCAGTTATTCACTTGCCAGCTTTAACACCAACACTGGTTTCATAACACAAACTCTGTGGCAGCAGATTGTAGATACAATATTCAGGATCTCTCCAAAGCTCTGTTAGCCCCATGTTTTTTTTCTACAGTGCACTGACCAACAACTGAAACATGTGGAAGAATAATGATAATTGTATTTAGAAGTATTTAATTATATTTGGTTCAAGCGTTTAATTGTATTTAGACGTCCACAGGATTGGTGTGTGTGAGTGAGCGCCATCATTTTCATGGCAAGTTTATCCATCGCCATGTTCGGTGTGACATCTTCCATAACAGTGAGGAGGCAAAATACATCTCTGACAACTTGTTTCAGCTCCTTCATAGTCTCGTGTCATTGTTCGTAACAGGGGTAAGAGCACTTTGTTGATAACCTGTACTGTCTATGTCTATGGAGACCTGTAGCTCAGTGGTTAGAGCACTCACCTCGCAAGCAAAAGGACCTGGGTTCAATTCCCATCAGGGCGAAATGTTGGGCAAGTTTCTTTATTCCAGACACCTCTGTTTACTTAGCAGTAAGTAGGAACTCGGTTGTTAATCGATTGGCAGATCGCTTTTCCGGGGGTAATAATTCCTTCAAAAAATAAATAAATTGGTCATTTTCAACCCACAACTGTTTTTGGGATACTGCTGTACGTAATTGGCTGCTGCGTTTCGCACACAAAATGTACAGTCAATTCACTTTACAGTATATTCTGTGCAACGCTTTGAGACGTCCCGAAGACGTGATAAGGTGCTATATCAAATGCAATGATTATTATTAGTATTAATTACAGTATATTCAGTCTAGACTGTCACTCAGTACAGTGCTGGCTGCGAGAGCGCAGGATTGACGGAGGTGCCGTGCTTCAGATGATAGGTTACACTGTCTGTGAGTTGGGAACAACAACAAGATTTCATTTACAGAGCACCTTTCACGTCGGGAGGACGTCCCAAGGCGCTGGACAGTTGGGTCAGGACCCGAGCAGGGGGTAAATGGTCAGGGTGAGGGGAGGGAAGGGAGGGAGCGAGGAGGGGGGAAATGGTCAAGGGAAGGGAGGGAGCGAGGAGGGGATAGAGTCGAGAGGGGAGCTGAAGGCACGATCAAAGAGAAAGATCTTGAGACCGGCCTTGAAGGAGGAAAGGGAGGAAGCAAGGCGAAGGCACTGGGGGATGGAGCTCCAGAGCCTAGGAGCTGAGAGTATAAATGGTAGGGCGGTTGGGGCGGGGTATGTGGAGCAGACCGGAGCCAGAGGAACAGAGGGTATGGGCAGGTAAGCAGGGGGATAGTAGGTTGGAGAGGTAGGAGGGAGCAAGGCCGTGAATGGCCTGGTAGGTGAGGATGAGGATCTTGAATTCGATCCTCTGGGGGATGGGGAGCCAGTGGAGGCGAGCGAGGGTGGGAGTGATGTGGTCGCGAAGGAGGAAAGACCAATAGAGAGAGTGGTGCTTTTTCCCTCACTGTGCCCACTTTTTATTTGCTGCCCCATTATATCTGATATGCTGCCCTGCCCTTCTCTTCGACCGTGCCTTCACCTCCCCTCGCGACTCTCTATCCCCTCCTCGCTCCCTCCCTTCCCTCCACTCACCCTGACCATTTCCTCCCTGCTCAGGTCCCGACCCAACTGTCCAGCGCCTTAGGACGTCCTCCCGACGTGAAAGGCGCTCTATAAATGCAATCTTGTTGTTTTTAAATAACAACTTGACTTCTGCTGAGGTTGGCGGGTGTGGTTTCACGCTGAGAGAAGCTGATCATTGCCTGAACAGTTGATATAACTTGGCCCGAGCGTGGAATGGGTGGAGCGTACTCAAACACTAGCCTGTGTCAGCCTCTTGAGTTCAGAATCAATGTAAGTATTGCATTAGCTCTCACTGTTGGCTTTTAGATTGGTCAAAGGGAGGTGTCAGTCATGCTGAATGGCCACTAACACTATTTATTGTCGCAAGGAGGCTGGCAATGGCTTGTCTTAACCCACAGAACTGGAGAGGTTTAGCACAGCTGAGCAAAGCTTCAACCTTAACACTGGAAAGGGATATCCTGCGTATTTAGACTACAAGAATTTTGCTTCAAGTCCTGCTGCAGAGGATATTTTCTCTGACACATGCGCTGGTGGGTTTTTAACTGTTGCGGAGATATCTTATATTGTCACTCGCAATCACAATACTGCCATTGTATTCTATCTGTTGTTACTAATAAATTACTCAGATTTCAAACATTTTGGCCTCGCCATCAATATTTTCCTGTTCCAGCTACTGTTAATTTATTTTTAAGCACTTTGAGACATTTCAACGACGTGTTTGGCACGATATCAAATGCAAGCATTATTATTATTATTTTTACTATTATTTTCCTACTCCGCCAGAGTATGGGTGTGCTTAACCATTTTGATTCCAAACATATTTGTATGGACTTCCCTTTGTGAGCTTGGGTTTCTCTGACCCTAGTTTCAATGTGATAATGGCATCGATTCAAATGCAAGTATTGTTTCTTTTGTCAGATCGTGGGAAGATGATGCAGAATACAGATTTCAAGACAAACCGTCATTCCCTGTTCAACGCCATGGACAGGTTTATCACAGCCGCCACTGATATGGACGAGACCATCATGGTCCCAACCTTGCTGCGGATCTCTCACTGGAAGAGGAGGACAATCCCAGAAACTGGAACCTCTCCAAACACAGGGATCTCTACCAGAGCTATCAGCTGCTGAAGTCAATCAGGAATGATATGGAGTGGGGGGTTCTGAACGGAGAAACGAACAGCAACCTGGAGCCCAGGAACACTGGGGAGGAGGCGGTTGAAGGTGGTGACCTCCAAGGGCAATTTCGCCATCATTTAAATGGACTTTTTTGTATCCTCTCCAAGCTCACCCTCCAAGCTAACCATCTGACCAGTCGGTACCAGAAAGAAGTGGGATGTAACAATTTGGGGAGTTAAAAAGGCGGACTCTGTTAAATGTAGATAAGATTGCGCCAAATTAGATATTTTCTGCTCATGGTGCCTGTATTTCCAGTGCTTTGGGACGTTCTCCCGACGTGAAAGGTGCTATACAAATGTAATTTGCTGTTTTATTTTTTTAAGTGGACTTTGATGGAAATGCTTAAACTCGGGAAGATAATGTCAGGAAAATGGCGGTGAAATTTGCAGCGTTCTGTGTGATCTGCAGCGTTTCAGAATTTGTGACTTAATTGTCGTGAGGAATGCATTATGAAACGCTGCAAATTTCACCTTGTGGTATAGAGGTTAAAGAATTAGTCCTGACCTTGACCAATCCAGATGTACTGTTTTTTAAAAAGCAATAGTTGTAAGATTATATTTGTGAGGTTTAATGTTTTTAAGGCTTTCATCTTTATGCACGTTTAGAATGACCTATACAACCCATAGATTACCCATCCTTTAATAAGATTTGTTTGAATTAATGACTAGTTTAGCAGGGGTTAAAAGTAACTTTGCTGGACCGGTTGAGGTCAGCTTCTGATTACATTTCATATTTTTCTGGGAAAGTGTTCACTCCTCTGAGATAATGAGCAATCGGGTCCTTGAGCATAGATGTAAGAAAGGAAAGGGTGCAGCCTCAGACCCCTGCCTATTTCAAGGCGTAGAAACAAGCAGGCTGTGGAAGGCTGCCCAAAAGGTTTCCATATCTTTCTCTCTCTCAAAGCAGCCTGCGAAAGGTGGGGGCTATTTCTGTGACGAGGGGAGGTGGAGTTAGAAACGCATAAAAGAAAGATATAAGTTTGAAATAGTTGCAGTTGTGTAGAGAGTCAGCACACTTCCCAATGGAATCGATATTGATTCTACTGTACAGGGGTGAGGGGATTTACCTCCAGAAGTTACCATTAAAAGGGAAAAAAGAGACTTAGTGAGATCTGTAAGGAAGAAGGGCCTTCTTCCAGTTGGAGTGTGGTTATCGTGGAAAATATACATTTTGATCATTATGCTGGATAAAGCTGTATTCTGATGTGATAATATATCAACGTTAATGCAGAGACTGTTGCTGCTTGTTTGCGAATAAAGACCTTTTCTTTGAATCTTTGTGTCAACTCGTATTGAATAAACTGGGGCTCCAGCAAACCTAACACATGTAATATTTTTATTCCAACCTGCAGCTGAAACGTCGGTGTGTACGTTTCCCTAGGTTGGTTTTATTAAATTGTGCCTGGAAAATGCACTTTTATTTTTCTGTTCAATGGCACAATATAGCTGTGCAGACCCTAGAAATTATTCTGGGCTTAGAACATGTGCATTGTACAAGAGAGGGAAATCATGAGTATATTATCAATAAACACGAGGACTATTCACACAATGAAATGCCTTTAGTACTGTATCTCAGTAGTTATTGTTATCTCAAAAAATAAGTCTACAAACCCTGTCAGGTATACAAGAAAACATATTGTGCTGTTTTAAACCAAATTCATAATTAAATTACATATAAAATAAACTCAGCTATGACTCAATTATCACCTGATCTTTGTTTTTAGAACCTTCTTTTGTTAAAGATTGTTACACCGGGAGTGATATATTCCAGAATTTAATTAGTCCTAACTTGCTTACAAATACACAGTCACCACACTATACAGCGCTTTGAGACGTTCTGATGACACGGCAAGGCGCTACATCAAAAGCAAAGATTATTAGGCACACCGAGGCACTCTGTGTGTGAAAGGTGCTGTCTAAATACAAATTGTTCTTGTATTATTCATGTGAACTAAAGTAGCATTTTACCTAAAGCTGTAAGATGCAACAATGTTCAGCAGATGCTGATATCTTTAAGTTTCCATTTGAAGTCAACACCTCATTCTACATTACTTTGACTGTGTATACATTTACACACTTCACTAGTCATCATGTCTTACTTCACCCACAAAATACAGTCAATCCACTTTACACCATGAAGTGCTTTGAGACGCCTCAACAATGTAATAAGGCTCTATATCAGATTATTATTAATAATAATATACAGTATATATAAAATTGTTCTGCAATTAGTGGATGTCTTTTTTTGGCCACGTAAAATTATTAGTTTGTTCAAGGACACAAATTTACATGAACATTTTCTTAAAAAAAAACACATCATGATGTAAATTACAAACACAATTATGCAATGGCAGTCTCCCACCACAGTGGGGGAAGAAAAGTTTTGCCAAATAGTTTTTTCCTGGGGCGTTTAAAAAATAAAGTCAAGTCAGCAAAACAGCAGTGAAAGAGTTAGTTGTATTGACAACATGTGGTGCAACCGTACGTGGCGGTATAGCGAGGAGTTAACTGTGTGTGCACTTTCCTTGCTGCAATAATGTTCTCGTTTTCCACTTAAACGTCAGTTTGACAAACAGCTGAAACCAGGTTTCCTCCTGCATTGAAATAAAACACTGCCCCACACCCTTTAGTTGGCTTTCTCTCCTCACTAATTGACTAACTAACTAACCGCAGACTTGTGTTATTTACACACAAGTCTCTTTTGATGAGAATGTCCTGGTTCCTGCTTTGGACCTTGCAGAGGGCGATCAGATGGACAACGGCAACAAGATTACATTTGTATAGTGCCTTTCATGTCGGGAGGACGTCCCAAGGCGCTGGACAGTGTACAGCATTTCAACTGGCACTGGATGTGTGAAGGGTGAGCAAGGTGTAGGGAGTGGGATCCTGTTGTGTTGCAGCGAGAATGAATGCATGTCAGTGAGAGTGTAGCTGTCTGTGTGTGAGGGTCAGACATGGAAATGCTGCTGTTATTCCTCAGAGACATTTAAACCCACGGTTCCTGGGAGTGGAGTGAAGCGGCATTGGTGCGTTTAAGAGCTAAATAGGAGTTTGGGGAGAGTTCAGTGGAATTTTAGGGGGGGTGGGGAGGAAGCATTTGACTAGCCCATCTTGTGTGCAACACACACAGTCAGAAGGCTGATATTGACCATGATGGCTTAAGTGGTTGTGACAAGTTAAAGCAGGGTCGAGTTATCCGGAGTTTAATGCACTCTCCAAGTCTGTGAGAATCACAGGCGCTTTCTGTGGTTTGTGTGAGCAAGACACCCCAATGGTTTGTTTTGAGGTGTCCACTGTGTTATGTTTGCAAAGCGCTTTCAGATGCTTTTACATGAAACTGTGCAATTATAAATGCAAGATATCGTTTTCTGTTGAACGGGGACTATCTGAAACGTGCACCTTAATGAAATAATCTGCGGTACAAAATTCTAAAGGATATTTGGAAAAAGAAGCAGAGGGGAGATGGGGAGACATTTTTTTTTAAGCAGCGAGTTGTTACGATCTGGAATGCATTGCCTGAAAAGCTGGTGGATTTTTTTACTTGAAAAGAAAAAAAAACTGCAAGGCTATGGGGAAAGAATGGGGAAGTGGGACTGATTGGATAGGTCTTTCAGAAAGCCAGCACAGGCAGGATAATAATAATATCATAATAACAATAATATGGGTCGAATGGCCTCCTATGCTGTAGAATTCTGTGATTTCTAAGAAGCTGTGATGGCGCACGTTTAGAATTTAGGGAATGTTGTAACGCAGGGTTCGATCTGAGGGCATTGGAGTCTGAGGATCCAGAGGTGTGTCCAACTAATAGGACAAAGGCACCGTTTAACACACTCTTATTGGATTTGCAGTGCTAGGAAGGTAAGGAACCATGAACAGGAGGCGGCCATTCAGCCCATCAAGCCTTCTCCACCAGTTTATTACATCTTTTGTAATACTAATGCCTCGCCCTTTCATTGGCCATTCATTTTAATTCGCCCACAAAATATACAGTCAATTCACTTGGCATTATATTCTGTGAAGTGCTTTGAGCCGTCTCAACAACGTGATAAGGCACTGCATCAAATGCGAAGATTATTAATTCTGCATTCCTGAGTGTGACCTAGAAGAGCTCCATTTCTGGCAGATCAGATTCGCCACTGATTTCTGCTGAAACATTAGTTCACAATTGAGACCCAAGTGTTCAATCCAGGAGGTCATAGACAGTTGGTGTCAAAATAGAAAATACTTTAGAAAAACTGGAACTGTGCCCATCTTATTGATTATATCAACTGAAATCCAGCTGTTCAAAGCACAGCCCAGTCTTGAGTCAATCTTTAACTCTGCAGTGCTTGGTGTGTTTTCATTAGCGTGTGTAAACTTACTTTGATCTTGCAATAAATTTTTAGTGTTTTGTTCCATCACGTTCTTGAGTGTCATAGCTACTTATAAAATACCAATGGATTGGCTTTCCAAAGTTAATGTTTAGTAGGTTTGAAACTCCCAGTGTAGAATCCTGCTTAGTTCTCAAAATGCATGTTTCCTCTAATCCGATTTCTGCTTTTAACAAAAATGGAAATGTTTAATACTGAATGTTATAATAATAATAATAATAATAATAATAATAATCCTTGCATTTGATATAGCGCTTTTCACGTCGGGAGGACGTCCCAAAGCGCTTCACAGAACACACTGTAAAGTGAATTGACTGTATATTTGTGGGCGAACGCGGCAGCCAATTGCGCACAGCAATGTCCCACAAACAGTCGTGGATTGAAAATGACCAATTTATTATTGTTTGTGGTTTTTGGAGGATTATCCAAAAGTGAGTGATGGACAAGCATCTGCACATCATGAGAAGAATCAAAACAGTTTAAGTTGAAGCAAATCGGAGAGGGAAAAAAAATGTTAAGGCCCTTTAGATTTAACTAAATTAAATCTAAATAAATAAATAAATAAATCTAAATTAAATTTAGATTTATAAAGCAGAAGTAAAATACGGAAGCGTGTTGTTTCCCTGGCTTGAGCAACGTGTATTTTTTAAGTTAAAGGCTTTTGTGGGTAGGTTGATGGTTCATTGTCACAAGAGGGGTTTGGAAGAAGACGGTTCTTTGACTCATTTGAGTTCCATCCACAATGCCAAGCTTACTATACCATTGCAACACCAAATTGCCCTTCAATGAGCCCAATGGACTCGCTTTAACCATCCTTCCTGGTAACCTGTTCCAACTGTGATCTTGTGCTCTCTCTCTATATATCTTTTTATATATATAGAGAGAGAGAGAGAGAGAGAGAGAAATATTTCTTGACGATCGATAATCCTGGGTGGGTATTATCTTAAAGTATCAATGTAGATATAGGCAGTAAAGTGAATCAGTGAATTACCCTGAAATCTCAGAGTGACGATGGAGTGAGGAGGAAGTTATTGGTATCAGACATGGTTGCATTTGACTTTGAATTGTGGCAGTCAACTCATCTGCAATAAAAAAATAAAAAATCAGTGTAAGAAAAGTAACAGGACTTTGTGGACACCCTATACATTGGGTTGAGAGACAAGATCAGGGGTTTGACTCAGATCCCCTACTTTCCAGCCATCCACACAAAAAAAGATCACTTCCCTGAGGCACGGCAGGTGGGACAACGCTGTGAAACTGAACCCTCAACATATTTTGTCGTGTTTTTTAAAAAAAGGAGGCGGTATCATTGGGAAGGGTGCAGAATATATGTTTAGAAAGGTTGTAAAAACTTTCATCTGTCTTTATGGCCGGTGCTGAAAATGAAATTGGGTTCAAAGTACTCAGTAGATGACGTTCGTGATAGGAGGATGAGGATTGAGGAGTAATTAAAGAAATCGATGGTGTAAATAAGGGAGCTTCCAGATTTGTTTGTGTAATTTGTTGCTATATTAAATAAATGATGTATAAGAGTTAAATAATAATCCTTGCCCTTACCAAAGCAACGTATTGTGCTTCAAAGTGCTGTTTTTTCCTGTAAAGTATAGCTTCTGCATTTGTAGGCGAATGTGGTAACCAATTTGCACACAGCAGCAATGTCCCTTAATCAGCTTCTAGTAATGAAACACACCTCCAACCGCTGCACTTCGCTTATGAGCTCAAATATCTTGACTTGTGGCTTGAACCCACAATCTTCTGACTCTGAGGTGAAAGTGCTGAGATGTCTAGGACAACCCCTTGTTATAATGCAGTATTTTATGTCTACAATATCAACATTAAATCATGTCCACAGAAAAAAATGGCTACCAATTTCCCCTCCGGGTCAATGCTGGAGTCACTTCTGG